GGCATTCTTGAGATTTCTTAACAGGTTCTGACTTTTCCAGTTAAAGGCTCAACCAGAAAATATGTTTGGACATAGGTTGAGGAGGGGAATGAAGCCTTACTTATTTAATTATAACTCTTGCTGTTTTAATATTTTAAAAATGCTTTTAAAATGCCTCTGGCTATTATATGCACATACCGCTTACATATGCATATGTATTGATATGTGTATATAGGTATTGTAAGGAATTGGCTCACATGATTATGGGGGCTGACAAGTACCCTCAGAGCTGAGTTAGCAGAATAGAGACTCCTAAGTAGAGATTGTATAGTTCCAGTCTATACCAAAGACCTAAGACCTCGGAAAGCTGGTGATATAAATTCTAGGCTGAGTCCATGTTTGAATCCAGTGGTCAAAAACTGATACCTCAGCTTAAAAACAGCAAACAAAGAAAGTGACTTCCTCCTTTCTGCCTTCAGCAGATTGGAATGAAGCCCATCTACACTGGGAAGGGCAAACTGCTTTACTCAGTCTACGGGTTCCGATGTTCATCTCATCCTGAAACACCTTCACACAACTAGCCTGATGTTTAACCAGATGTGTGCGCACCAGTCAGGTGGGCTCATATAATTAACCATCGCATATGACTCTTGGGTTTCTATTTTTATTGTTTTATGATTCACTGCTTTTCCTAATCATGCTGGTGATGAAACTCTCCTATATTTGGGCAGCTTGAGCCCTCCGTCCCCTTAAAGTTGACTGTGTGCTTGTAACCTGTCTGTACTGTCTGATTTCTGTAGCCTGCCTTTCCTGTTGGGAATTCACATTATCTGTGTGCCCTTTCAGAACCTTACAAGTAAAATTTTGTGTTGTAGAGCTTGTATATCCCTTAATACCTTCTAAAATTAGGTAACAATCTATTCATATGTATTTGAGTGACATGTTAATAGGTGGGTGTGAACTTAATATCACTTATGGTCATTTATCTATATTTCCATTTGCTATAATATGATTCATGTATTGGGTTATTACTCTGTAATATGCACTTTACTGGCAGGACCAAGTTAGCTTCTGATCTGCTCATGAGCTCCCTCTGCTGACACAACAGTGCTCGCACACAATTCTGGGATATAACATGCATTTCTTCCTGCCTACCTTTTTTTCTTCAATTATTATACAATCATGGATCATACAATTCAGTTTTAGAACCTCCTTTGTTTACTGACTGTATCAAGGATAGATTTATATGTAAAATATATTTTTATAGCATGTTAATGATTATATGATTTTCTCTTACCTCCTGTGTATGTACCATTCATATGTGATTTGTTAAATAGAGCTTGGTAAGTTGGTACAAATTTGACAGGAAAATCTGTAAGATAAAGAAATTTTATTTTGGGAAAATTATCCAGGCCAGCTTTAAGTACATGTTTAAGAAACAGGAGAATCAGGTATAGATGACACCTGGTGGGGTAGTTTTGGGAAATGATTGGGAAGTACATATTGGGGGATTTTTTATTGAAATGATAGAATCCATGCCAACACACATGAAGCAGAATAGAAATTTATTTGTTTAATAACTGAGAAGCCCAAAGTAGAAGTATTAAGGGGCTCAGATGCTGTTGCGCCTCCATCCTTTTTCTGGTTCTTTTGTTTGTTGAATGGGGAAAGAAATGGCCTCTGACCCTTCCAAACTGACCTCTAAAAACCAAGTACAGGGCCCTTCCTGCTACTACTCATGGAATAACATCAGTTCAGGCCTATATTGTGCTGTTGGGGTCACGTATCTACTTAACTTAGTCCCTGTGAACATAGTGATCCAGGGGTTGGGATAGGGGTCAGCATGGTCCAGATCTGAAGCACAAGCCCATACCTAAATCCAGACAAGGGGGAGGAACTTTGGTAGACACTCCCCAGGGCAGATGAAGTGGAATTCCTCAAGGAAAAGAGGTTGCTAAGTAAATAAAATGACAGGTGTCACCACCCTATCATTGGGCTGATCTCTACCAGAACATTGAGATAAGCAGGTGTAAAGCAGAGTATGCCAGTGAGCTGGATGGACAGATCTTGGTGGGGTCTTCTTAGGAACAGAAATACTTGAAATGCTTCCTCTGAGGTCAGGTCTGTGTAACTAAAGAGAGAATTTAGAGAGAGGAGCACCTTGAGAAAACCGGTACATTCAGTCTTAGGCATACAGACTTTGAATTACTTTTGGAACATGCATGAGGAAGTAAGTGTCCAGCACATGAAGACCACATCTCTTTGAGTGTTCCTTCCTTGAATCTGCCAGTGATAATCTGGGTTCTGTCCCTTATGCCTGGACTGGCCCAATAGCGTCTCTGACCCCCTACTTTTTTTAGCTTTATCTCACTGTGTGCAATCAGTGCACCATTTTCAGAGACATCATTTTAAAGCTTTTTATCCTTTCTTTGTTCAATTTGGTGCATTATATTACATATACAGTTTGTCACTCAGAGTGTGTAATAGTCTGTCCCCAAACTTTATTTCCACTTTCTACATCTCATACTTCCCTTCTACTTGATATGTGAGCCTTGATTCAACTAAATTTTTGCTATTCCATGAACACAGCCCATGCTTAATGAACCTCTTGTCTTTTAGTCTCACTTTTCTTACATGCTCCGGTGTCTGTCTAGGAGCTGAATGAAGAACAAGCTGTAGTTGGCCCAGAGAGGCAAGAAGGCGTGAACATTTCAGGTGTTGCTTAAATTTAAAGCTTCTTTATAATCAAGGCATGCAATGTCTACACGAGCCTTTATTTGCTGTCTTCATTCCACATTGATTAGAACCAAGCATTCAGGTAATAAAGAATGCAGCAATAGCCCTGTAGGGGCACAGAGGGATGGCAAACAGGTCTGTGTGAACTGGGAGAACTTAGACTTTCTCAGAGAAGAGAGGACTTCCTAGAAGAGGTGGCCTGCTGCCCGCGTCATGAAGAAGCTTGATTTTAGCAGATAGAAGACAGGTATCATTTTAGGCAGAGTGTGTCACATAATTGTTAATGTTGAAGCATGGGATTTTGATGGACAGTAAGAGGTATGGAGGTGGCATGGCTCGATTTGTAAGTGTGTCAATAGGATACTCTTAGTCTGGGCTGCTATAGTAGATTACCATGGACTGCATGATGTACAATAACAGTTATTTCTCAGTTCTAGAGACTGGGAAGCTCAAAATCAAGGAGATAATTGATTCCTTCTGAGAGTTTTACTGGCTGGAAGATAGCTATTGCGTTGTGTTCTGACAAGGTGGAGGATAACTTGAACTTAGTCTCTTGCTTCTACAAGGACATCATGGACCTCCCACCCTGAGGTCCTTTTCTGAACCTAATTCCTTCCCAAAGCCCCAACCTTCTAATAAGCCTCCTCACAGTAGGGATTAGGATTTCAACATACAAGTTTTGAAGGCATACAAACCTGCAGTGGGCAACACCTTCTGATACTTGTTGTTCTGGGAGGATGAAAGAGTATGGAGAAATTTTTTCCTATGAGTTTGGAGTAACCAGATTCAAGAGTATTGAGATACACTCCCCATTAAACATACTCAGGTCCTGAGACATAACTATGATGCCTGTCCCATTGAGGTAATTGATGCCATGAATTTCAAGAGACTGGACAACTCATTCTTACAAATAATAATAAAAAAGAAACCATTGATTATTTAAATGTAGAGCAGACAGCCTTTGTAGTTGCCCTAATTTGGAATCTTATAGAAGATTGTTGTTCCTTGATGAAAATAAGCCAGAGTACAGTATGAGACTAATAGAAAATAAAAGTTAGAGGAATAGAGACCATTTTGGTGCCTATACAGACACTTTATATATGAGAAAGGGTTTTTTTTAATGTTTAAAATATTTTAAGTTTCTTATTTATAATGCAGAGACAATCTATTAATCAGTAGATTTGGAAAGTTAGAACATGCCTTTTTTTTGCTATGCAGGCAGACCATTGTTCACCTAAGGGAAGGGTCACCTTTATTTTTATCTCCTTCATATTAGAGGAGTCATACCTGTAAAGGGAGCAGGAACTTCAGTTCTGTTCCCTGAATAAAAAACACAGTTAGTATTAAAAGGGCCTCCAAAGACATTGGTGTCAAAGGAGACAAATTTGGTGACTTAGAAATTTTGTTTTATAATCTACCTAGGGCTCGGTCACTCTGCAGGGCATGCTGTACAAAGGGAAATACCTATTCTGTGTGTGTGCTCATGGTTTTATTGCAAGCACCTACAGAGATAGGGCTTACACAAAGAAGGTGCAGGGATACCTGGGATTTTACCTTCAGAGCTGATGCTTTGCTTTGCAGTACTTATAACTAAAACACCGTCTTTCAATGAAAGGAAAAGAAAGAAGGAATGTCAGATCAACATTTCTGAAGTCAGATTGAAATGTCGGTTACACAAAGCCAGACACTATATTTGATAAAGTAATAATGGAAATACAGCTCTCTTTCTATACCAAGTTATACTTAGAAAGCAGATGGCTAAACCAGGAAGCTAGGCTTTCAGAACTCGCCTGTAATCCAGGGTAGAAAAAGCGTCACCCAGATGGCGTTTGCTGGGGATTACTGATTGGTAATCCTTCCTTGTCTTAGAAGATTGTCTGCGCTGGTATAGTTATGGTCAGCTGATAGGTTTAAATAAATGTAGCTTTTTGTAATTCTGCCAGTTTCTGACTATGCCTGATGTTCTGTTTGTACGTTTGGGTGATTACTGCAGAACCTGGCCCTGCTTTGTTGACTGCGGAAAGCTCCGTTCCTCTTCCTGCTTGTTCCTTATTGACCAAAGCTGAGAGCAGGTGGTGAATAAGGTTGCTGGAGATAAGTCATTTCTTCTGCGGGCCTGCCTGTCAGGTGGTTGGTTGTGAAGGCTTCGAGAAGGAAGTGCTACTCCTGGATCAGGAAGCCAGTTTCTTTTAACCCCAGGGCTGGTTCTGCAACCGTTTTCACGCTGCTGCTGTTTTTCACGGGAAGCTGTTCAGAGCTGCACTTAATTGAGGACTATCAGGTGGTTATAAAACTATGCGCTGTGCATTTGTCTGGCATGGATTGTAGAGAGATGGATTTTTATGAGGACTACCAGTCCCCATTTGATTTTGATGCAGGAGTGAACAAAAACTATCTCTACTTGTCTCCTAGTGGGAATTTGTCTCCACCTGGATCACCTACGCTTCAGAAATTTGGTAACTACAAATTTTTCTAAAGTTAAGCTTGCTGTCATAAAACCTGGACACACTTGGAGATTTTCCTGGCTTTCAAATGAAAAAGTTTTCATGTAAAGATGTACCAGAATATTGCTCTGTTGAAACTAATTAAAGAGCTGTTAGATTCCAAGTAGAGAGATGGATTATTAAATACTAGAATGTGTATGTGTGGGAACTTAGAATTTAAAGGCAGTACTATTTATATGAGCATATGAACTTAATCACTTTGAGTTCATTGAGGTGATAAATAAGAAAAAAGGAGGAAATCTGAGGTATTTGTTTCTAGTTATCTGTGTGATTTGTTTGATCCTCCTGTCTTTGTCTCTGCTAAAATAAAAGGCTAAAGCATCTGGAGTACTGGCTAAATTGAAGGTGCTAATGGAAGTTCTGGATTTGTTCTGGAATACTGAGCTCAATATACAGAAATGGCAAGACAAGGAATATTTAAAAGATATATTCGAAGTTGCTCTACCTGTGGAAGCAGTCATTCCATTGCACGTACAATCAAGGGCTGTTCTGCTGTCCAGAGCTACATCAGGGACATAGTTCATCAGGTGGCACAAAGCTGGAAGCAGCGTTAACTGTGAGCCAGGCCATTTCCTTTATTTTTCAGATTGTTAAGTGACCCTCTCTGGAACTTGCCAGAAATATAAGCAGGTTTTCCTAGAAGCTAGTGTTTTCCTTATTAAGGAACAGTAGTCACATTGGACCTTTTTAAGTTAAAATGTTGGTAATTTAGGGGAAAAAATCATATTGCATGGAACCTAGCTTAAAGGATTTTAGCTTGTCTCTTCGCTGACAGTGGGGAGCTGGCTCAGCGGCATTCCTCTCTGTTGCAGTCCTCATCCACCTCTGCGGACATGGTTTGAATTTCCAGGAAGGAAAAACATTGAAAATACGAAGGCTAGAGCTGGTCTCCAGAAGTTGGAGGCTGCTGGACTCAGTTAGCCGTCTCTTAGGGACGTCAGGTAGCAGGAAGGCCTCTTCTCTGCCCGCCTTTCTGTCTTCTCAGCTCACCTTAGGCCTCTGTTGTATGGTGGGTCTGCCTCTGCCGGCCCCTAAAAGGGTGACCACAGTCATCCCAGCTGCTGAGTCCTACGTGTAGGAAATGTTCAGGAGCATACAGTGGAGATGTTGCAGCTTGAAGACATAAAACCCAAGTAAGTGACAAGGAAGCGGGGCTACAGGCCACAGTCATGTGAGTTCAGGTAAAGCCTGGTGACCTGTGGGAAGGGTTCAGAGGAGGATTAATAGCTGTTTGTGCTAGGTCTCTTCCACTCTACTTCTGATTCATGCCTCTCATTTTCCCCAGTTACAGTCATTACTGCTTTTGAATATTTTCTTTAAAACAAAAGTAGCGTTAGGGTTAGGCAAATTACTGATAATTGCCTTCCTGGTTCCTAGGAGCAGGTTGTGGGAATCTGGGCTCATGGGATTAAAAAGAGGTTATCAAAGAGCAAGTGAACCAACAGCAACTAAAAACAAACTTGTACTCACTAGCACCAGTGTAGCTGTTTGCTTTAGTTGAAAAGTGGGAAGGAGCATTAAGACAAACTGAGACCACCATAAGAAACATCAGCAAGACACAGTGATTCTAAGGTAGCCAAATGTAAGCAGGGATCTGGAACAGTAATGGCATCTTTGTGCCTGGGGGCCCTCAGGGCACACGAAGCCTGTTTGAATGCCGAGCATGAGGGTAGATGAAGGGAAATCAGTGCGCTGGGTTGCATGTCTGGGTCAGAGCTCTTAGGACACAGCCACTAACAAGTTCATGTGGCTTTTGGCCACTGTGCATTTTCTTTCTTTCTTT